CAAAATAATTTTTCAAATTTCCAATGACGAGGTAAGTAAACTGAAATAAACCACTATTTTGTTTTTCAGCTGGTGAATTTAAACAGAACGCTCAATGCCAGGAGATACGTGGACGAAATTCTTCGGCCTGTTTTAGCACCATTATTGCAGCAGCATAGACAAGCCAACAGGTTTATTTTTCAACATATCGATGGTGTGCACATAAGGCTAGATTAACTCAAACTTTTTGCAAACGAACAGCATCAACGTCCATGGTTGTTCCGCTTTGTCTTCAGACTTAATCAAAGTACTGTGAGTACTGAAAGACGGTGGCATGAATGATTTTGTTTGTTTAACGTCTCTCTCAGTATAAATTTTTAGCAGCGAAGGATGTTCTCTTGCTAGTTATTACTGCGACACAGGATTTCAATCTGAATAAAGGGATGTCCCGCAGTGGAAGTCGAATCCGCGACGTCTTCAGGACCGTGACTTCAGAGCAAACACGCTACGTCAAATGGCGACTGGCATTAAATACGATAAAATGTTGTAAGAATTTGTAAAATGATCTAGAAATTATCAAAAATTTTTACGTCTTTCTTCATTACATATGTAAAGTCATGTATTTTTATTTATAAATTTATATTTAGACTAAAAATTCAAGTTTTGTGAATTCGCACTGTGATCTAAAATTTTCACTACTCTTAAGTATTGTGTTATGAAATTTAACTGTGATCTAGAATTTTTATGACTCTTGAGTACATTTTTCAATAAAAAAAACATAGAAAATTTCAAATAGATCTATGGATAAATAAGCAAATTATAAGATTTTATATAATGTATTGTGTTGTCTTATAACACCCGGATGATAATGTCAAAGTGTCTAAAGCAGCGTCACGTTTCCTCTTTGCTAAAAATCAAATAAGATAACTCCCACTTAAATTAAGGAATTTCAATGATGCACAAAGTTGAGTTTCCCTTAATTCTTTAAATAATAGGAACCGATCTCGCGCACCAATGGAACCTTGTCAAGATTTATTATACCCCACGCAACTAGTTGCGGGAGGTATAATGTTTTTGACTGGTCCGTCAGTCCGTCAGTCAGTCAGTCAGTCAGTCCTCTTTTTTTGTCAGCGCAACTCCTCATAAACCACTGCACAGAATTTTGTCAAACTTTGCAGGTATTTAGGACACAATGTGTAGATATGCATATTACCAGGAAATTCCGATTCCATTATCTTTTCCGGGAATTTCCGCACTTTTAACTTAGGCATTTGGCCATACCTTGAATATAGAGATGAACAGTTTGTCAGCGCAACTCCTCATAAACCGAGGCACAGAATTTCGTCAAACTTTGCAGATATTCAGGACACAATGTGTAGATGTGCATATTACCAGGAAATTCCGATTCCATTATTTTTCCGGGAATTTCCGCACTTTTAACTTAGGCATTTGGCCATACCTTGAATATAGAGATGAACAGTTTGTCAGCGCAACTCCTCATAAACCGCTGCACAGAAATTCGTCAAACTTTGCAGATATTTAGGACACAATGCGTAGATGTGCATATTACCAGGAAATTCCGATTCCATTATTTTTCCGGGAATTTCCGCACTTTTAACTTAGGCATTTGGCCATACCTTGAATATAGAGATGAACAGTTTGTCAGCGCAACTCCTCATAAACTGCTGCACAGAATTTCGTCAAACTTTGCAGATATTTAGGACACAATCTGTAGATGTGCATATTACCAGGAAATTCCGATTCCATTATTTTTCCGGGAATTTCCGCACTTTTAACTTAGGCATTTGGCCATACCTTGAATATAGAGATGAACAGTTTGTCAGCGCAACTCCTCATAAACTGCTGCACAGAATTTCGTCAAACTTTGCAGATATTTAGGACACAATGTGTAGATGTGCATATTACCAGGAAATTCCGATTCCATTATTTTTCCGGGAATTTCCGCACTTTTAACTTAGGCATTTGGCCATACCTTGAATATAGAGATGAACAGTTTGTCAGCGCAACTCCTCATAAACTGCTGCACAGAATTTCGTCAAACTTTGCAGATATTTAGGACACAATGTGTAGATGTGCATATTACAGGGAATTCCGATTCCATTATTTTTCCGGGAATTTTCGCACTTTAACTTGGGCATTTGGCCATACCTTGAATATAGAGATGAACAGTTTGTCAGCGCAACTCCTCATAAACCGCTGCATAGAACTTCGTTAAACTTTGCAGATATTTAGGACACAATGTGTAGATGTGCATATTACCAGGAAAATTTGATTCCTTTATTTTTCTGGGAATTTCCACACTTTCCAACTTTTTGACCATATTTTAAATATAGAGATGAACATTTTGTCAGCACCACTCCTCTTAAACAGTTTTACATAGTTTCGTCAACGTATGCTGATATTTAGAACATATTCCATTATTTTATCCCAAAGACAATCTAATTAAAATTAGATGTTAGATCCGCTTGCATACTCGCTACACTAACATCTAACAACATCCCATAGAGGGTCACGTCAGAGGTCAAATTCTATCATCCAATCAAATCATCGCCTGCAAAATCATCGTATATTTTTATATGTAATCGAAGTGGAAAAGTCTAGATTTGTTCCGAATTTGACCTCTGACGTGACCTATGGGATGTTGTTAGATGTTAGTGTAGCGAGTATGCGAGCAGGTCTAACATCTAGTTTTAATTAGATTGTCCCAAAGAGTTTTGACTATTATTCAAGAAAATTTCTCACCCCCCCATATCAAATTAATGTGTGGATTTGTATATTGTCAAGAAATTTTGATTCCATTATTTATCTAGAAACTTCATTCCACATTTAAATGTCCTCATATGCAAGACATTTTTATGAGAAGATTTTTTGCAATTATTGCCCTATTTGATCTATACTATGTATTTAAAGTGCACTGTGCCTTTCATTATGTGTTTCACCGTCAAGTTATGGGGGAGCGTGGGGTATGTGAGCTAGCTCACCTTTTCTTTCATTTGTATTAAAGTTATGAAAAATATTTTTAGGAATTATCGTGCGTACGTACATTAAAGCATGTTAATAAAATATCATTTTTGTCTGTATTCTATTAAAAGAATTCATAAGACTTAAATATGAAAAAAAAATACTTGCCAAAAATTTCATCTTACAGTGCCAATTATTTTTCGAGAAAAACGCTTTGTCCACGACTTTAACGGACAACTCTCGTCTACTGCTCGAAAAAAAGAGAGAAAGAAAAACAAAACAGCGAAATATTTTTCTGCCTCTATCTTTTCGTTGTCTCAAGTCATGGTCGGAGTCTTACATATATGTAGCTCTCTCCAGAATGGGAGAGGATCGTACATTTTGGTCGTGGTTTGCGATGAAACTATTTCTCATACGTAATGTTAATATAATTTTAAATACGTCATTAATTAATATATTCATTCATTATTAAGTCATTGCATATGCAATACATAGCTTGGTGAACACACGCAGAAAACTGACATAAATTCAAACGAATAAAATCGTATGAAAAGCTTATCCCTAGTAGTATTTCATGCACATCTATTTCAGTACCTTTTTGTACACCTTTAAATTTTATAAGAGGCACGATAGATTAATAAGAATTAATTATTTTTAAAAAAATAGAATGGTAATAATAAATGACAATTTTTATGGCATAGTTTATACCCCAAACAATCCTTTCATTTACCGATTAAGATATCGGGATCTTTCTTCTTTCTTAAAATGTGTACATGCATTCGTTTACCTAATATAGCATCGTAAACAGATATAAGAAATTAGAAATTATTGCAAACATTAAACTTCTTGAGTTCTATTGTATAAAAATTCACGAAAAAGTATTTAAGAAACAGTAGGGAATGTGTTGTTTGGCAATTATAATTATTTGATTTGGAATTTAGAAAGTGAAACAATTATCTACAAATAAATTTCATCAAATATACTGACTATAATTATAATTCTAAACACAATGTGTACGAAATTACTTTTCGCACATGTGAGAAAAAACGAAAAAAATATGAACGAATTGATTTTTGTACTTTGCATACGAATATATATACGAGTCGTTTTGTGTACGAGTTAGTTTGAGTTCAGCGTATTTCAATGAATATTCATGAAGTGAGAATATCGATCACGGCAAATATCAGGAATTATGCTTTGTTTCCATCAACGAAATGTCTTTGAAATAACTTGAAAGTATTTTTTAACTATGTACATTTCATTTTAATCATCGAAACAAGTCTACTTTCATTATTTCGACTCTGCAAGAATCGCCGATAGGATCCCCGTGTGTTTACATGCTGTTTATTCATAAGGCCAGACCAGCAGCAATAGCCTGTGGCTATATATAGCCACCGTCTAAAACTTCGATTGAGAATTTGTGGTATGAGCTGCATGGGGAGACATGTGCGCAGACTCCAGTCTCAGTCTCAGAATACACAGGAACTTGGTAGAGCCTTGTTGGCGGAATTCCTCAAAGGAATATTCGAAGAGTCTGCCAGTCAATGGCACGTCGCCTTCGCGCCGTCCTCAGTGCCAATGGAGACCATACCCAGTATGAGTGACCAAAACCCCATTTTTAAAGCACGCGCACGTTTCTTTGACATTCTTATCAATTGAACCTTTTTTGTGAATAAAATGGTGTTGAAATTAAAAGATCATTGAACATTAAATATGGTTGAATATATACAAAATATAAGTTGTTTATAAGAGTTTTGAATAAATTTAAAATGAAAAAATTTTTTACGTGTTGCGTTTTTAAAGTACTTCATTTTTTTTTCGTGTTTATAAGTTATCTAAAGAGATGAAAAAAGCGAATTGTGTTTTTAAAGTTCTTCAGTATTTTTCGTGATAATAAGAAAAAAATAAACGAATGCAAAATAAAAATTGAAAAGTTATTTCCCACTACCTTTTCATGAAATAGATTTGAATTTACTTAAAGATATTTTATAACGTTCACCTTTAATGTCTTTAATTGTAAAATTTTAGGTGAAGTCTAATTTCATCAGATAGACCAATAATGGCATCATCGCCTCTGACAACAGATGACAAAAACTACATTTACCTCAATATAGCGACGCTAGATGAAATACCACGTATTTTTAGAATACTTTTAGAGAGTCAGATTCAGCCTCATAATTTACCTGCAGCAGTGAAAACATGCAGCACTTTTAAACTTGGAAAAGAACAAAGCGATAAAGTGATACCAACACCTCCAAATGTACCAAATTACGAAACATTTGACGTAACTTTGCTTTACACTCTTCTTCGAAACCTCTGCCCCGCATTCAAACCAACTAAAGGATGGGGATTTGAACCGACAAACATTGACCTTTGTCTTGGGGATGATATTGAGAGGTTGAGAATTTTACGAAACTCTGTCGTACATATCGAAAAACCGTGCGTACCTAATTCCGATTTTAAGATGCAATGGACATTGCTTGAGGACATCTGTAAAAGAATGGAAAAAAACATTCCAACTTGTAGAACTCCTTATCTGAATGGCCTCAACGATATTTTGAAAATAGAATTGGGAGGAGACTTTCCTAAAGATAAGTAGTCAAATGTCTGAAAGATTTCAAGTTTTGAAAGAATTAATCTAAGAAAAAAAGGAAAAGAAAGTTTTAAGTATTATAGAACTTTTTAAAAAACTAAATAAATATAATTCATGCAGTACTTAGTTTACAAATGGAAGGTCTGTGATGTGTTTAATGCGTTTAGACTTAGAGAAAATCAGTAAAATACGTGACAAAAATGAGACTTTGTCTTTAAAAAGTAAATGGTAATGGTATTTGGAATGAACAGAAATTTCTATAAGCATTTGAATTTTTTCACTCAATACTTCTTTTTCGAAACATATTCATATTATTTTTTTTTTTAGAATTTTAATCTAATTATTTGATTTCTCCATCTTTTAATCTGAAAAAAAAAATACGTTGTGTATTCAAATAAAAGAGTAGTTTTATTTATAACAATATGAATTTGATCTGTGACAAGTCTTTGTAAAGCTGAACATGACTCGTAAATAGGCACACGCCATTTTCGGTATCATTATGTATGATACATCAACACCAGGGTATACTCTTCAGATTCGTCACACCTGAGTGCTTTAATGTCACGGGTATGATGTTCATGCTGCTTTTTTTTCATTATCTTTATTTACATTTTATTATAGATACGTGTTTCTGTGTTTGTTTGCATACTGCTCTGACCTGTAAAACTATTATTGTACGTTTCATTGGTGTCTTACTTTCTTGCATTAGACGAAATATTACGTTATTATTGTCGCTACCGAAGTGCTGTATACTTAATAGCATACGTCAATCTACGCCGGTGTCAACACTGGCAAAGTCTAGCCTTTTATATAGAAGAGTGCAGGTATAGGAATGGCGAACATATTCCAATTACAAATCGTATTCAGCTTTAATTGAGAAAATATTAAACAAAAAAAATCAATCTGGTTTGGAAATGAAATTGCTCCAGAACATTTAATATTTCTTTTTAAAATTGCAGGCCTAAAAATATGTGGTCTATCAGAAGTATGGTACGGGACAGATGCAGTGATGGACATTGCATCTGAATGTGAATCGAATGATATTAATTGGAAGAAGAAAGTAGGAGCAATCGTGCATGAAATCAATATAACAACTGAAAAGTATCAAGGCAGTTCAAATAAGAAGCTTATTATTCGACGGGTCACACATGAAGATGAGGGAGAATACCAAGCCATAATGCAAAAATCGCGTCACATATTTGTCCAATCCAATCAAATTGATTTGAAAGTTTTAGGGAGTATGTATATATACTCACTTATTGTAAAAGAAAAATTTCTAAAATATTTCCCAAATGTCTCTACAATAGGCTGTCAAAGATAAAATTGAAGTGCTAATTTCTCAGTTTCTGCATGATTTTGTTCGCTCGTAATTGCAATTTTTTTTTTATCGAATACGTTTTATTTAAATCGATTTATTAAGACATTCAATTTATTTTGCTCAAATTATTTTCTCAGACATTCCTTGCGTGATTTTATCGGGAGCTGAAAGTGTTTGTTTTGGAAACCTATCAGAAATCACTGCAGCAATGAAATCGGATCTCCCCATTCTTGAAATGAATTAGGGAAAACTTGTTGATGACCAGTTTGTGTATTTAGATGTGCACATACCAAAATATAAAGGAAGTTTTTTGAAAGACCAATCATCAAAACTTGTGATCAATGATGCCAATTTCGAAGACGAAAGTATTTATTGTCTTGCTGTTAGAAACCTCGTTGGGGAGGGTAGGAGTAACCCTTTTGTTTTACGAGTAACAGGTTGTAAGTACTTGAATAAGGATATGGAAATAACGAACAGTATTCAATCTCAACGTCCATTAAACAAATATACAAAATTACAATAATCCATAAATCTGATATATCATGTTAAGTTTATATTCAAGGTAATCTTTAAGTTTGACAAATCATATGAATTTGCAATCTGATTTTTTAGCTACGCCGATGGTCACCATTGACCATAAAACTGACCTGAAAGCAAGATCTCTTACGATAATAAGTAACATCACCACAACTGAAAATTCTCCACCCGTAGATTCAATCCATTGGTCAAAAAACGGAAGCGTCATTCCCGTACTTGAAATCCCCGAAAAATACCAACTCCTGAAGGATGACAAAAGATCTCTTTGCATATTGAACATAAGTGAGCTTGATGCTGGGTCCTATAAATGCGTGGTGAAAAATCTTGTTGGGTCTTCTGAAAGTGAGATCGTTCAATTAGGTATGTATTTTTGTTACATAATTATGGAAGAGTTTCTTATCCATATATCAATTTTGAAGTAAAGAAAAGTTTTGACCCATTTACATGTACATTTAAATGTGTAGTACTAACAACATTTCATTAAGCTTATTTTTCAAGTGTGAAGATATTGATAACAGTCTATGAAAAAATAGAAATATGTCCAACATCAGTATGTATCAGCATATGAAGTTTGACACTAATTTTATTAAAATGAGGTCAAAGGAAATGCAAGGTCAAAAACTGTTGATGCAGTTGAAAGCTCTCATCAGTATGTTTCAGAATATGAAGTTGAAAAAAATTATAAATGATTTCTTTAAAACTGACTTCAAACAATTTGATTAGTTTGGTCAAAGTCAAATGGTCAAGGTCAGAAGTGTTAATACAGTTGATATGCTGACATGTACATCATTATGAAATTAGCATATATAGTTTTACGCTGAATTAAGAAAGGTGAGTTCAAGGTCAAAGGAAAGGTCAAAGAAGAATATGCTGATGCAGTTGATGATATCTCAATCAATATGTGTCAACATATGAAGTTTGGTAAAATTATCTAGAATGATTTCATTAATTAAACTGACTTATACACAACTTGATAAATATGAGGTCAAGGTCAAATAAAAAATCAAGGTAAAAAAAATGTTGATGCAGTTGACTTTCTAATATACATAAGCATATGAAGTTTTACACTTCATTTTAGGAAAAGTGAGGTCAAGGTAAAAAATGTTGATGCACTTGAATTGCCAATATGCATAAGAATATGAAGTTTTACACTTCATTTTAGGAAAAGTGAGGTCAATGTCAAAAATGTTGATGCAGTTGAATTGCTCACATCAGAAATTAACAGCATATGAAGTTTGATTAATAAATATTTTGAATGGTAACTTAAAAACTGACTAAATCCTAAGAAAAGATAAATAAAAGTGAAGGTAAAATAAAAGGTCAATGTAAAAAATGTTTGATGCAGTTGAATTGCTCAAATCAGAATGTATCAGCATATGAAGTTTAACACTGATTTAGAAAAAGTGAGGTCAAGGTCAAACGAAAGGACAAGGTCAAATATTCTGATGCAGTTGCATATCTAGTCAATATGTATCAACATACGAAGTTTGATATAAAAATCTAAAATGATATTTTTAAAATTGAGCTAAATATAAAGGTTTGTGAGTTAAAGGTCAAAGAAAAGGTCAAGGTTAAAAAGACAATTTAGTTGAATAACTCTCATCAGTATTTATTTATATATGAAGTTTGATAACACCATCTTGAATGGTATGTTTAAAACTTAGCTAAACACTAAGTTAAGAAAAGTGTGGTTAAGGTCAAAGGAAATGTCAAGGTCGAAAATATTGATGCAGTTACATAGCTCTCATAAATATCTATCAGCATATGAAGTTTGATGAAAATATTTTGGATAGTTTCTTTGAAACTGAGCTTTGAACAGAGCTGAACGCAAAGTGTGACGGAAGGTCAGAAGGACAGAGGGACGGAGGACGGACATGACAAACACTATATGCCTCGGCCATATTTATAGCGGGGTATATCAATTCTTGTAAAGGTCTTATATATAAGTGATACGCTAAATTCGATGGTTTTCCGAACATAAATTTCTCTGCTCGATTTCCAATATATGTTTGATTAAAATAATTTGGGTAATGGTTACTATGAAAACCTTATCAAAGAAATATCCCTAGCAACCAGACAACATTTCAATCGTTATAGACAAGTTATCAATTATCTTTAGAATTAGAATTAATCATTAATAAATCACCACATCATCAGTTATACAGTACCTTATTAAATATTCTTTTTTTACTGATATTATAGAAATAAACATTGTTTAAAGTAGAAAACTACGAGGACCTTAATATTTCTGTTATAGACATATACATGTTTTTCGCTCCTTCAGCATTTTTCTGGAATTTGACAATATTCGAGGTCAATTTAAAATAATACCAAACTAATTTACATTATAGCTGTTGCTCAAATAAAGATTTCTATCTCTTTTAGAGAACAACTCCAGATACATGGATTATTTTTTTTAATTCCATCTGTTTCCTAAAAAATAAAAAGCGAAAATGGTTGGGAAAAATTTTAAATTTTAATATTCTAGTTGAAGATATACATTTCTTTAACTATATATGGAAAAACCTCTTGAAATGCTTTCTTTTAAAATAAGTTCGTTCTATCTTTCTAAGGAAAAACCTATTGGACCTATTGAATTTATCAATTATTAATTATTTAATACCGGTCCCTTAAAAGTGATCCGTTTGAAAGTTTTCCCTTGTTATCGGTATTACTTAGAAACCGTTAACCCTAGAAACGCCAAACCTTAACTTTTGTCTTTAGGTTCGTTAGAAACAACTTCAAAATATCAGTGCAAAAGGATCTCGAGGTCCCTTACATGAGTTATCACCCTTTAACTATTTAACCTTATATCTTTAAAAATATTGCAAGGAGGCAATAAATATAATGCGACCCTTGGCCTTGAACAATCGTTCAATACCATAGGTTAAGTTTATCTCAAGACTTTTAAAATTTTCTGTTTACATCTTTCAAACCATTTTTGGTTACTTTTTTTATTATTAAAATAGAAAGTAAACTTAAGATAAATATGGAAAAATATGAACTTTAAAGAAGACGGACATACCTTTAACTTTTCAGGGACAAAAAGTTTACTATACATTTCTTGCATGATATTTAAGGAAATATGAAGATTTTTTGAACCAAGAAAAATCATATTAATATAATATTTCTTGCTTGGCTGAAAAATCTTCATGTTTCTCGAACATTCATGATATGAATTGTTTATTCTACCGAAAAAAACTTTTATGAAATAAAAAGTTTTATGGCCCGAGTACGTGAAAATCTAGAACCAGATAATTCGTTGTTTAGAATAATTAAAATGAAATATAATATGTTATATTACTTTTTAATTTTTTTTTCGGCCGAATGATTTTAGATTTGAGATTTATCGAAAAGATTTATAGTCCATAAGAATGTACTCCTTAAATATTTTAATAGTTGATCTTTGCAATAAAAGCTTCTTTTCATTTCTCCTGCAAAATTGTGCATGTACGAAATCTTCACAAACGTTGTCACCTTATTTAGGAGACCTAAAATCTATTTATTGCGACGGTATTCGTAAATCCTTTAGTGAGCTATAGCCATTTAAAGGTACTTGGACACACCATATTAAATAAAGTTATTAAAACTTCATTGTTTGGCGGATTTGATTGACACATTCTTGTACTTTCACAAACTTTAACCTTTTTCTCATTCCTTAGGAAAAGTGACAATTTTGTTGTGCATTAATGAAAAGTATTAAAACTTAAATCTAGACAATCTCCTACACAAGTATTGTCATTCCAAACTAAGATTTGCGTACAGAGTTAAGCAAATCGAGCTCACTCCTGTTATGTACAGTTTTTGTAAACAGGGCACAAACTCTGTTATTGTTTATAATTATGTTCACAATTCACCAGGTGCGTTCACCTGAGTCGGGATGAGGGGGGGGGGGGGGTTACAAAGTCTAAAATTAATTAATGCTTTGAAATTTGCTCTTTAATGTTAATCTACCATTTTATGATAAAATTTGCAAAATTTTGAAATATGTGGCCCCAGGAACAGTGGTTCCTTTGGGATGAGGTGTACAACTGGTTATAAAGTGGAAGTGCATTTTCTCTTAATTGTACTCTAATCTACCTCTGGGTATTAAGTAAATAGAGTTGGCATGCTAAGTCTAAATAATTATAAGCAGTGGTACCTCTTTCAAAATTGTGAATTGCGAATTCCATGGCCTCTGGTTTATAACGTGAACCAAATTTAATTGTTTGAAAGTTGTTGCACAATACTCAGGTGACCTATAAGGCCCGTGGGCCTCTTGTTTATTAAAGTTTTAATAGTTTTATTCATTAATACACACAACAAAATCGCTCCTTTTCCTAAGCATTAGAATATAAGTTAAATATATGAGAGTGCAAGGAAGTGTCAATAAAACCCACCTAACAATTTGAAGTTTCAATAACTTTTAAATGAAGTAAGATTTTTGTAGCATGCTATTAAAATATATAAGTTGAAATATAAAGCAGAAAATATCAACTGCAAATCGGTGTCCATGTACCTTTAAGGTTTATAAAGGTTTTTAATAATGACCAATTTTTTTTTTACAATACGAGGGTTGATCCGAAAGTTCGTGGAATTTCTTTCTAAAATTTTATTGTGATTTGATGAAGGCAAACAAAATGCATATTTATAATATAGAGTCATAATGCAACAATATTAGAAAATTTTACCACATTCAAAAAACTAAAGAACTTTCTGAAAATGGATAGTTGTGAAACCCGGGGGAGACTTCGACAAATCGTCAAGTTAGATATGTCACGTCACGTAATAGAAGCATCTCAGCCTAATATCCGATTCGAATACGCAATTCTACAAATTTCTGTCCTTTTCTCCATTTGTTTCCTCAAGAAAAGCTGCATATGCTGTCGGACCAACTTTTCTTCATTTTTAGGTCACCTGAGTCACTCAGGTGACCTATTGCTATCCTTTTAGTCCGTTGTCGTCCGTCGTGTGTCGTGTGTTAACATTTGAACATTTTCAGCTTCTTCCTGAAACCACTCAACCAATTTCAACCAAATTTGGTATACAGCATCTATGGGTAAAGGGGAACACAAATTGTGAATTTCATGGTCCCTGCCCCCTTGGGCCTGAGGGGTGGGGCCAAAACCACTAAAACTAATGAAATCTTTAAAAATATTCTTATTTACTCCTGGACATTGAGCAGGCAAATTGTTAGCATAAAAGTAATGTTCATTGAGTCCTCTACCAAAATTGTGAGATTCATGGCCCCAGGGTCAGGGGTTGTAGTGCTAGGGTGGGGCTATATAGATTATATAGTGAAAATACATTATTTCTCTGAAAATCTTCTTCTCTGCTCCTGGGTATTAAATAAACTAATCAAATACATTGTTGTGATGAGCAAGAGTGCCTATTGTGAAATTCATGGCCCCCAGGGTCATGGGTTCTTGTGCTAGGGCGGGGATATATAAATTATATTGTGAAAATATACTATTTCTTTGAAAATCTTCTTCTTTGCTCCTGGATATTAAATAAACAAACTAAGTATATGGTTATGATAAGCAAGAGTACCTCTTCCAAAATTGTGAATTTCATGGCCCCAGGGTCAGGGGTTATGGTGTTAGGGCGGGGCTCTATTGATTATATATTGAAAGTGCATTAATTCTTTGAAAATCTTCTTCTCTGCTCCTGGGTATTAAATAAACTAACTAAGAACATACTTATGATGAGCAGGAGTGCCTTTTTCCAAAATTGTGAATTTCCTGGCCCCATGCAGGGTCTGGGATTCTGGTGTTATGGCGGGTCCCTATCGATTTAATGGTGAAAATGCATTAATTCTTTGAAAATCTTCTCTGCTCCTGAGTAATAAATAAACTAGAGGTACTGTGAGTAATGAGCTCACTAAATGATACCCCCCGCCTCCCATAATGTCGATGTGTTGCTTTATATTGTTTACGGTAATGTGTAAAGAGGAATAACTCGTCCTATGAAATTTTATCCAGAAGCTTCTATTATGTGACGTCATAGGTAAACAAAAAATGGCAATGTGCATGTTTTGCTCTGGGAAACCTAAAATACGTGTCGAATAAAAATTTAAAATAGGAGGTGCATAATGGCAATATGTCATAAAGATTTTGTGAAAGTTTCATTAAATTTCACTCAGTAGTATAAGAGGAGTTGCGGATAAGAGAAAAAGCGTAACACACGGACGGACGGACGGACCTACAGACGGACGGACAGACGGACGGACGGATGGAAATCCCGATCACTATATACCCTCCCGCTTTTCAAGCGGGGGGTATAACTAACTTATTACAAAGTTATGATGTGCAAGAGTGCCTTTTCCAAAATTGTAAATTTTATGGCTCCAGGGTCAGTGGTTCCTTTGGGGTGGGGTGCACAACTGTTTATAAAGTGGAAGTGCATTTTCTCTTTTTTACTCTGATCTACCTCTGGGTAATAAGTAAATAGAGTAAGCATGCTAAGTTTATAATTATGATGAGCAATGGTGCCTCTTTCAAAATTGTGAATTTTATGGCCTCTGGTTTAAAACAGAACCAAATTCAATTGTTAGAAAATTGTTACATGATACTCAGATGACCTATAAAGCCCTTGGGTCTCTTGTTCACATTTATTTATTTTCAAAATACTCCTCATCTTTCAACATGATGTTCCAATTTCAGTAGAAATGTCAAAACAGTACGTTAGTTTCAACGTCATCTAACGCTTTCAATTTGTCTAGGGGGATAAAAAGACCGACATACCTTTAATCAACGTCTACTGAAGTTCTACTTTTCTTAAATGTCTTATGCCACTAGACAACCAGTAACTATATTCATTTTCCCCCAGCCTATTACAATAATATACGCGTTTAAGATAAAATTGATCCCGGGATTTTTACAGAACGTACATGACTTGACCGAAGTTTCACATTGTTTAACAACTTAAAGATGAACATTAAATCATCAACTAATACACTAATTATTCAGTAAAATCAGTACAACTCTCACACAAAGGTTTATAAAGGATCACGCAATCGTAATAATGAACGATTTATGTTTTATGTACCACATAGGGTGGTTTTATTCTCATTTCAGGTAATAAAAATTAAAAATGAAAATGAACGCGTGAATGTTTCCCCGCGTTTTGAAACAACCGTTTCTATGGCAACTGCCATATAGTTACTGTCATCAATATCTAGAATGTTTCTTTCCTAAAAATATTCAACATGTGTCTACATCCTCATTTGTAATTTTCAACCAATTTCACTCATAAATGAATAATATATGAAGAAATTCTACAAACTTTTGGATCAACCCTCGTATATTGTAGAAACATGGATCAAACTGCATCTGCTTTTTCGTTCTTTGAAATTGAAAGATAAATCAGGATAAAAAGGTCAAGGTTATAAAAATAGCCCTTTTTCTTTCAACATATACTATCCTTCTTTGCCTTTGTAATATTTTCTTTTTTTCTAGAAATTTCAAGAAATGTTTTAGGGTTTGGGGGTTTTATTGAATATAATTTTGAATTATTGAGATTTAGTACTTATTATAGGTAGACCAGTTATTTCTATAGAAGAGGAGACAGAAGGCAAACTGACAAACACCTTCAGAGTAAAAGTAGTGTCTATTCCATCTGTTTTTTCTGTCACCTGGGCAAAACTTGTTACAACAGACCCCGAATCTGGTTACATCCCGATTGATTTAAGTGACCCAATATATAGCGGGACTTCTTGCTCGACACCATTTCCAAAGTTGGTTGTGAACAAAAGTGAAGCAGCAAAACATCAGATATTTAAGATTTTTGCAGAAAATTTCATTGGGCAGTCAGAAGCCATTGTAGGCGGTAAGTCTGTCTGTTTCTTTTTAATATATACTAGTATATATACTATTTATGCTTATGATACGTTTATAATATATTGCGTTTTCACAGGTCAGGAATCTATTTCAACACAACAAGAATTGGTTCTGAAGAAACAAGGTAAATTAAAGCTGAATCTGACTCGTCATTTAGCACAAATTATACAATATTCGATTATATGATCTAAAATTCCAAAAACAGGGGTATGTCCTTCACATTCTTTACACTTTGCTGCTTTACTTTCAAGGGTATGGTGTTGGAATTTCGACGTGTTTATATTTGTTATCAAGCATATCCTTTGTTAATTTATTGCAGTTATGTGTATATATATTTCCGTTTGTACATTGCACTGACCACTCCAATTTTTGTACGTTTCTTCGAAATTTCTTTTATCCGGTCCTGGAAGAAGTATACGTATCTATCATACATCTGAACAGGTGACAACGATACATGTAACATTGTATGTGAACGGCTTATATAGCAAATCCTCAGAATAAGCAAGTGAATAAAGGAATATGGCGAAAATTCGTTTTACGAACGTCTTAAGCGTTAATGCATATGATTTTACAATACATCACGTCAATTTACACATTTTTCTTCGATCTTTTTCATTTACAACTCATTTTCCAGCCCGATAAAAAAAATGACCAAATATATCCGTTCTGTAGGAAAAGTCTCATCTAACGATGACACTAATATGCTTAACAATGCATTATCGTGAAAATTCTGGCATTTCGTTTAGTCTACATTTAATTTGCATTATACTGTAAGCTCCCCACGGATGATCTTTCATATATGGGGGTTACAAAATATAACCTCATACAGTACACACAAGAATGGTGAAACTTCCATCCTGGCTAACTTCAGTTTTATAACCAAAACGAGAGTTTCTCAAAGGTATCAATAATTTAATAACAGATTTCCGCAATACTGAGCAATAACAGCATCAGGTATAATACATAAAATAATGAATAGGTGTTACAAATTAACCAATGACAATACTGTAAGGCGATCCACCAATCACGGTACTGTAAGGTACAGTACAAAAGAGCTATGTCAAACAGTGCCAAACAAGGCTGCCGTACAATAAGGATAATAACATCAAAACGGAATTGAAATCTGAAAAGACAAAATAACCAATAAATATGGATCACATATGATATGTCTATAATAAATAAGTAAACAATTTATACCTGAAACTTGAAAATTTCACATAAGTAATCTTGCTGAGTATGCAGACGATATCGCGGATGGACAAAAATATAGTGCAATTGGTAAACACGTGTAATCAGGAATAATATTGACTAAAATGAATAGTAAATCACACAATGGTAATGAATACCAAGTAATCATGCCTGTGACATAGCTTGAAAAACGAGTTTGGTAAAACCCTAAACTATGGCTAATACAAATTAGATGTCGGCAGGATGTAAAAAGCCTCCATGACTCTAACAATCGTGTAAAATTATGGCAATGTAAGGCTCGTATTTGACTAAAGTATAATCAAGTAAAATACAGTAACAGGTTTGTTCATGAAATCATAAAATAAAGTATTCCCTTTATAATCGCAAACAACAAGTATGTCAATGTGCCATAAATAGACGATACCACAATGCAAAAATATTCAAAGGACTGAAATGTAGCAGTGAAGTTAATGCATAATAAAATCCACTCAGATAATATTCCAAATGTTGCAACATATAGATAATTAATTAATAAGTAATTAAATTCTATCCCAGGTCATTACAATATTTATATGTTAAGACTAGGTGAAGAATAAACAGCATAAAAAACCTAAGGGCTCTACTTATTATAAAAAAGTAAAAATTCATTAATAAATACTAGGTACCAACGACAAAGCATGCAAACATTATGGCGCCATATAATAATTAAGGACATTGTTAATATCCACGGTATCGTATCGATATCGAATCATGATTGATTCATCTTACCCAAAACAAAAACAACCCCTAACCGTTTGTAATTTTATTGACGATTCTTTTTTTTCACATATTCTTGCCAACAATGAATCTGTTCTGATTAACTGTTGACCATGTATAATTATTTTTTAACTAAATTCTAAAATTTGATTATTTTTCGACCAGATATTGTCATGGTATTGTCGATATCAACAGCATCGTCATTACACGTAGTCTAATATATGGTGCCCAGTATTTCAAATCAATGGTTCTAGTCTGGATCGATATGGGTCCAATATTGACATAATAATGTTGATATCGTCGATATCAACATAGGTTTAGTTCTTGAAATGTATCGGTAAAATACAGGGTGTTTCGGCAATCATGATCTGACTTTGCAGTTTCAATTAAACATTTTTTTTTGGTTTTTTTTTCATTTTGGAAAAATGAAAACCACGAAACCAAACAATTTTATCAATATGAAAGTTGATGTAATTCTGAATCAATTATTTCTAAGACAGACATTCTAAAAGTTAAAACATCAGCTTAATATCAAAAAGTTACTATATTTCTAGTCAGCATCCTCAATTTGTCTCTAAAGTCTTTTTTTCACATATATTTGGACATTTTAATGAAAAGTCTGTTTCCGAGAAAAAAATTTTTATGAGTACTTTTTTTTTTCAAAATCTTAGGCACTAAAATTGATGATTTTGGAGATTTTATGTGTGTATTGTTTGATTTACAAAAATCCATAGATCTATTTCTAAAGAGAAAAACCTCACTTATTTTTGAAAATGTAATCAATGGAAAAAAAATATAATGACTTTATTTGATATTGCTGTCATCTTATACATGTTATACAATGTACTTGCAAGAAAATGGGCTTTAAAATACATTCATAATTTTATAAATATTTTATTATTGTGCAAAAATATGTAGGACTCCAATGTGCAATGGGACTCCAAAGTCCGATGGTCTACGCCAGACCCCGATGGTTTGACACGGCAAACCCTGATGGTGCTGAAAACAACTTACCTTTATGACGTCATAATATTAATGCGGCAAACTATAATGCCGCACCATGCCAAAATTTTAAATAAGCATTAATAATTATCATTATGCAAAAACTAACCCTTATCTCTCGGATAGGTACTTACCTAAACCTAATCGCTCGAAAAGTGTGTAGGCCTATCAACTATATAGATACTTAGATATCTTGGATGGGTGCGATACTAACCCTATAATAACTCGACTAGTGTGCGGGTACTAACCCAAAGTCAATAAAACTAAAAGTACTAGCCCCAATCAGTTGAGTGGTTTGCGAGGACTAATCCTAATATCCCTGAAACATGTAAGCAATGCACAAAATAAATAAAAGCGTATGCAAGGATAAATTCAGAAATTATGGCATTTGAATGAAGGAAAACAGCGTCAAGGATTGACGTCGAATTATTGTGACGTCATAACCGTCGATTGTTTCTCCACGCCATCGGACTTTGGCGTGTCAGACCATCGCAACTTAGCGTAGCGTGTCTCATAGGAAAAGAGTCATTGGACTTTGGCGTGACCATCAGACTTTGGCGTCGGTACCGACGAAATTGAGATGAAAACATTTAGAGAAAATATTGACAATACATATTAACATTAAGCGATGGCAAGATTTTAAGGGATAAATTCCCCTCAAAGACAATCACTAATACAGTATTTATGACTTTAAACATCTTTAGGAGATCAAAAATTTACAGGTTATTTTTCTGGAAAAAATGACAATGATGCAGTTCTTACACAAAAATTCAAAGAAAGAGCGGCCATCTTCATGATAGCAATACTTTACGAGGTAAATTTTAAGCAAAGACAATAAAACAGTTTTTATAACGAGCAACATTTCTCTCAAAAATAACACTGAAACAATTTATGTACAGTAATTCAAAGAGAAATAAACCACCCTAATGATAGCAAAAATTTTAAAAAGAGCAATAATGCTTGGAAAAAAGTCGAACATTATAGGGAACATATACTCAAAGCAAAAACTAATTTTGATAATAAGGCTTAAAATGGTAAACCCCTCAAAGAAAGTCACTTAAATATGATAAATTTATGACATCTTAAAGATAGCAAAAATCTTCAGGCTGAAGTATAGACCCAAAATATTCCTTTTTTGGCCCAGCAATTGTGTGAATTAAAAAAAAAAGGCATTTGAAAATATATTTTGGACTTATCTACCTAGCACATCGATCGACACAATTCACTTGTGCAACAATTCCGTTAAAACTGGATCTTACGATGTCAAACTAAATTCTTAATCGCAGCATGGTTCACCTTTTCCGGGAAAATGCTAAAATTGTACACAATAAATAGTGGAATTTACAGCACAGTCGTCATCAGAAGATTTTGAAACTTAAAAATATCTTTAACTGTTCGACGAATAATTTCCAATGAAAATACTCTGCGGTTACTAGTGTACTCACATTAAATAAAAATCTCAACGCGTGTAAAAAGGCTACATGATCAAGAACCATAGTATTCGTCTTTGCTTCACACAAACCTCGAAGGTGTATTATATTGGTTACACAAGTGGAGAGACACTCATATCCCAAAAGTAAAAAAAAAGTTAACTGAAGCACCAATAGGCACGTCTGACTGCTAGAATAAATATGGGTTACATGTAAGTCTTAACAATAGTTCAAAATGCCAATTTATCGACAAATGTTATTTTCCCAAGTTAAATTAATTTAAAGGCAAGTACAATTTTCAAACTTACAATATGTATGAATACCGCAAATACAAACTTTCATGTCAAATTTTATCGTTGTTTATGGTTGTCTCGAGTAAGGAATTCGAGTTGAATTAGAAATTTTGTTGTTTTCAAGAATCGGTTTTTCTTTAGAGTAGGTCATTGTAGTGACACTTATTGGTGGGTCATATACTCACAATCAATAGAAACACACGTTCTCCCTAGGGTGAAAATTATGTATGGGATATAACTATGTAATAAAAAAATTAGGACATTTTTAATTTTGCAAAAAGAATTATTGAACGGTTGAATGATTTTTATTCCATTCCATTACCGGAAGTTATTTATTAGCCCTCCGAACAGAAATAAAAAATTAGCATTTTTTAAATGAAATTATTGGCAATATTTTGGGGTTTAAATTTTGTATAAGTATTGTACTAAAATCCTGGAAAAAATATCCTTGTTTCTTTTCCGGATGTGATGCCTGTATTTCCTAAAATAAATGAAAGAATGCATTTTCATTGCTAATGCTGGAAATTCTCAAAATAAAGAAAAAGGAGAGCTACAGATGCAAATTCACTATATAACGTCTTTTTGGGCTCATGTGCTTCAAAAGCATAAATGACAGTTTCTTGACCGGAAGTCTAAGGGTTTCTACATTACGCCATGTTAGAGAAAATTCGACCTCAGTATCTGAAAAACAGGTATTCAAAAATACCCAAGAATATTCATTTCGCTCAGATAAAGACTTTGATAAACCTAATGCGTGGTAGAAATCAGGCTGCGTATGTTGCACATGACGGACTAGCAAATGGTCGGAGGGGGTGTTTTGAAGGTTCTGTTAAGATGGCTAAAATCAACTTCCGGTAATGGAATGAAAATCATTCAACCGTTAAATAACTGAAGTGGCGAAGTTAAAGATGTCCTAATTTTTTTTTTACATAGTTATATCCCGTACATAATTTTCAACCTAAAATTAGGGTGAACATGCGTTTCTATTGATTGTGAATATATAACATTGAATAAAAAGATAACGCACTTGGTGATAGAAAAGCAATCGATTGTTCGTTGAATCAGTAAATGTGGTAAAGAATTAAAAATAACATATTCTGAAATGAAAGGAAAAAACTGATGGGTTCTTAGTTGTACATGTCCATGACGTTACTCGGTGTACGTCATTTGTGAAGCATTGGCGTCGGAAGCAAATTGAAAGTGGGGGGGGGGGGGGGGGCTAATTGTAAAAAAATTTTTTTTGTACGACCAAAAAAAAAAACCAAAAAAAAAAAAAAAGGGGGAAACACCAAAATCCTATTTCGTGTGTGTGTGGGTGGGTGGGGGGTGGGGGGGGGCAAGGTTTGAAGTCCAGTACCAAAAAATTTTCTTCCAAACACCAACACTTTTACCAATTTTAACCTATCCTAAGACGTATCTATGGAAAGTGGGGGGCTAAACGTACGAAGACATGTTCATTGTCTATACTAAGTATATATTGGGGAAAAAAGTGGGGAAGTGGGGGGGGGGGTTAAGGACGGTTCCGACGTCTATGTGAAGTCATTATAGATGCAATTATTAGGAATCAATTGGTAAAATACTTTTTTACGAAGTTAGTTTTCTTTCGCTTTATTAATTCATTTAATGAAAATGAATCTTTCATTAAAAAATTTAGCACCTCTGTAAACTTGGGCCCAACAAAAATCGTGCGTTCGTGCATTAAATGCACATTTCCGATTCAACAAAGCCCCACGTTGATGCATATACAATACATGTATTTGTACCACATTTGTGTTTTATACCTAAACAACATTCATTTTACCATATAAAATCTGCATAGATAATTTTTATGTACTCTCATTTATGCTTGAAAAGTATTTTTCACCCACCTTCACAAGCATTAGAAAGGTTTTCAAATGTTTCCAGACAAAAATTCTGAATTTAAAATATAATATGTTCTACGGTGCGACCGTTGGGGCGAGCGCAGTTATTTACTATCAAAAACCTTTACACAGCCAAAGGAATCGGGATCGAGATTCCGAACTTTTCGGATTTTTCCGACAAAATCAGAAATACCCGAGCCGTTTAAGTGACGAAAGAATGACGTCAAATAAAAAGCCATGTAGACTTAGAACGCAAACGATAGTTTTGTGGCAAGGATATTGCATAAAAACGTTGTTTGTAATTTTTTTCAAGTAAGTTGTTGCTATGTTTTAGCCTTCAGGTTGCTAGGCACCGCAAAGGATTACTGGGAGTTTGGAAATTTTTCACGCGGTGAGATAAAAATTTCTTGGAACATTGTGCAGATTTCAACCCGAATTTCCTCCGTTCGTACACGTTAGTCTATTGAGCTCGCCAAGCGAGCGGCGCTTCGCGCCGCCTCGCTGCGCTCGCTATTACCTAATTTAAGATGATGTGTATTATACGATTGCTTCGTGTGGGGTGTTAAGACAAGGATTACATATAAATGGACAAAAATGAGTAATTTTTTTGTACAAAAATCCAGAATTATATATATTTAATCGCGAATACACTTAATGTAAATAATATGAAAAAATAATGTGTAAAAACGTTCAGAAATTGTTAAGGGCCATAGATCATTGAATACTTAAGAACCTAAATGAAATACATATGTACACTTTTCAAGGACAAGTTTCCTTCGAAATACCTACCGTTCACGGTAGCTCAGTCGGTAGAACGCTCGCTTCGTGATCGGGAGGTCGTGAGTTCGTATCTCGGCCGTGACTGACCTAAGTTGATAAAAAAAGGTAGCAACTGTTCCTTCGCCATGCGCTCGGCACTTTGAAGTGAAAGTTGCAGGTCCTTCGGATGAGACTTTAAAAACCGAGGCCTCGTGTCAGCGGCAAGATAAAGATCCCTCACTGCTCAATGGCCCTGAGTGCCAAGTAAAAGTCAAAATTTGTAGCCCTTTGCCGGCATATGGTGACGTCTTCATATGTGTGAGTAATTCTCGAGAGGGATTTTAAACAAGATGCAATCAATCAATCAATCGAAATACCTAATAGTGTGAATTTCAGAAAACAAGGATATCCTTTGAGGATGGAATGGGAAAAAAGGTGGGTCGGGGGACTATATCAGAAATATCGCAAGATCCTCTACTACTAAGATAAGAAGTTTACCCCCTCATGATTAGAATAGACCGGCGGGGTCTTTGCTTTGACATAAATAATATTATAGTTTCATTACATACAATTATATCAGCATTAAATCTGATTTACTGGACATGAAGAAGGAAAGGTGTTTTTGTCAAAAGGGCTAAATGTATGTACTAAAGAGATCAATGTTTCATAAAATATATACGAAGCAACCAGGGATACATTTTCTTGACCGCATGTCAAGCTTTAAAAAAATAAAACTTTGTATGTCTTCGTCCTTTGTTTTAACCCCTCTCCCCTTTTCTGAAACTCCTTACTATAAAAGTCGTGTATTTTCTATTTCAAGAACAATAGAGCCCCTTTTACACTTTCTTCTTGTGATGTCTATATATATTAAGGCCCTTTTAAGAAGGCTTTTTTGTGTAAAATATATCTTGTCCTATATGTATCAGTAAAATGTTGATGCCTGTACCTGCACTTCGCTTTTTATCTTGACGTGAATCTGGCGGACATTTCTCGCACGCCAATAAAAATTGGTTAATCGCAGAGATGTTTATATATCTTCATCATCACTATCACGTATATTACAAAAAGAACCCTAGCCCATTTGATAGTCACTTTTGCCTACTATAGTAGTGATTTTTAGCTCTACTGGTCAGAGACCAAAAGAGCTTATGCGATAGTAATGCGTCCAGCGTCCGTCCGTCTGTCTGTAAACAATTTTTAAAAACGCTACTCCTCCTACAATTTCAGTCTGATTTCAATATTTTTTGGCACACCAGTAGACTACACTATGATACATAGAATAGTGCATCGGTTTTTAATTTCGATGAACGGTGTTGCCATGGTTATTAAAAATAGAATTTTCTGTGAAATTCCTTAAAAACGCTACTCCTTCTACAGTTTTAGTCTGATTTCAATATAACTTGGCAAACAAGTAGACTACACTAAGTGACATAGAATAGGGCATCAGTTTCTGATTTATTTGAACGGTGTTGCCATGGTTACTAAAAAAAGGATTTCTGTGAAATTCATTTAAAACGCTACTTCTTCTACAGTTTTGGTCTGACTTCGATATAACTTGGCACACAAGTAGACTTCACTAAGATACATAGAATAGTGCATCAGTTTTTGATTTCAATGAACATTATTACCATGGTTACTAAAAATAAAATTTTCTTTGAAATTCCTTTAAAACGCTACTCCTTTTACTGCTTTAGTTTTATTTCAAAATAAGTTGGCACACAATTGGACTACACACAGATACATAAAATAGTGCAATGGTGTTTGAAAAGTGCAAACCAGTAGAGCTACAGTCTCGACAGAGACTTCTGATTTAAATATATACATTGTTTAACCAAAATTTTGTCATACAACGTTAGTTTATACATGCCTTAAAGCAAATCACACAAAAATAATATTCAAATACTTATAGTCCCTCATATGATAGATATAAAAATTCTTCAGATATATAAAAAAATAAGTTAATACTGAGGTACCCCCCTAAATAACGACCAACTGTAGCAAAAGACCACCCTTAACCAGAAAAACAACTTCTGAATAATTTTATTTGGATATGACTGCATTTCATTACGGTTGGATAATTTTGGTTAAAGGTGGTCTTCATATTGAAAATGCTGAAAATATGTATTTGATTTTTCTTCAAAAAATTATTTTAAGATTCCACAATCTCTCTTACATTTGTCCGTCCATTTACAATGCCTTCATGACGTAGTGGTATAAGTGCTGGATTGTAGATATAATAACATGTATCTTCAGTTCGAGTCTCATAGTGTATATTCATATAAAGGCTTTCATTTTTGTTCTCTCTGTGCATTTTTTCTATGTATTGTTTTATTATTTAACACTACATGTATAAATGATGTAAGAGATATATATAATACAACATAACACCTTGAAGAGTATTTCTGGAAAACAATCCTAAACTATTTTAATGACCCAAAATCAAAGCTGCTAGGTTGTTAAATTTTAAATTTTTTTTTAAAAAATCTTGATTAGAATAAGAGTATTGAACAAGTAAAATGATTGTCATATAACAAACTTGCAACTATGAAAATATAACACTGGTCTTCAAATGATTACATACATGTAGTTTGATCTTGAATTAAAAAGGTACATGTATCTATAATTAAAACATTTCTGTGACGTCATCTTTTGTTAAACCTGGTTCAATAAATTTGTTATTGTCCTGCACCCCGTCCAAATAGTTACCTGTAGGTGTCCAATAAGTTTCAACTTATTGGACAGGTACAGGTTACGTTAAAATGAGAACAAAGAGCGAGGCAAATAAATAAGTAAACAGCATTTAAAAAGCAATGACAAATCTAACAATTTAATATGAACAACGTAGGAAAATAGTAGGCTAGCGTTAAATGTTAGTATTTCACAAAAAATCCTATTGAAAATGGCACAAAAAAATCCAGTGAATTGAATGTCTCAGATTCATTATTGTAGACGCATCAGTGGCTCCGATCATAAAGTACCTGAATTCACCGTTCATTGCTATATAATAGATTCATTTCCCAATGCTCGATTCACGGAACATAATATAGAATCCAATGGACACAAAGAATTAATGAGAAGAATGCGCTTTCTTAAACAAAACCCTGGGCTTTTTGTTTATTGAAATATCCATTTTTCCGCATTTAGCAAACAATTTTGCTCACGAAATTCCAACAGAATCTGTTATTTCGTACAGTGATTTATTACCATTTGTCCACCTAGTCCTACGTCGTTTGAGCGAGTGTCTGTCGTTGTTTTAAGGAGTGACTGGGGTAAATTCCTCCCGAGTTCGAAACCTGCACACAAAAGAGAAAGTGTTGCATTTAAAAAAAATACACCAGAAATAATCTCCCAATTTCAAAGAAAATGCTTAAAAAGTTGTAGGATTAAAATACTTCAAATCCAATTGCTTTACAAAAATTACCTGTTAACGGGAAACTCCGAAACATAAGAATATATATCCGGATTTCATAGTAAAAACTTGAACTGAGGCACCTTGGTGTAATTGGTAAATGGCATCGTCAAAAAACCCGATTCTGAAGGTATTTTTTTTTCAAAATAAAAATGCACGTCGTCATCCGTGGTCGTTGCGTTGTAAAATGAAAAAAAAAATTGTCAAGAATTTAGTAGAACTGACTTTTACGCATGCGTAGTTTAGATAAAAAATGTCGCACTGCGGACAAATAGACTCCCCGCAGCGCTAACGCGCCTCGGGTAGTCGAATATCTGACATAATGGACAGTTTTCGTCTTATAACCATTACATAGAAGCAGGTGATTTCCTTTTAAATACTTGAGTCGGCAGTGTCGTCGGTAAGGCAGTTATGGCTCTTTCTACCTTTACGAATTTCTTGCAGTAAAGATATACACATATTTAGGAAAACATTTCAAGTAATACCTAATATTTATACCAGTTGATGTATACACTGTTTTTATACCCCCCGCTTGAATAGCGGGAGGGTATATAGTAATCGTTAATTCCGTCCGTCCGTCCGTCTGTACGTCCGTCCGTCTGTTACGCTTTAGGGTACTTATCTCTTATCCGCAACTCCTCTTATACCACTGAGTGAAATTTAATGAAACTTTCACAGAATCTTTATTACATATTGCCATTGTGCACCTCCTATTTTACTTTTTGATCTGACACATATTTTGGGTTTTCCGGCCATGGCAAATCATGGACATTGTCATCAGTTATAAGCATATGGGAGGCGTGGGGTATCATTTAGTGAGCTCATTGCTCACAGTACCCCTAGTTTTTTAAGGAATTAGGTCAACAATTCCGGTTTGATTGTTAAGGATTTATTATATTGGTACCGAAAGACGTCAATGGAAATAATAATAATAAATAATAAAATATAAGGTAGGTCACAAAAATACATATGCCAAGCATGGGAACCCTTACTCTTCAAAAGATATGGCCAAGGTTAAAAATTTTAAAAAGGAGGTCAAACTCATGCAAGGTCTTCGTCAAAGGGTCATATTTTTTTTCATCCAAAGAATGGTCTTCTCACAAGGATTATATATGTGAAGTTTGAAAGTCCAGTCCAAAATTATAGCCAAGGTTAAAGTTTTTTCATAAGTACGGAAATCTCCAAGGTCTAGGTCAAAAGGTCAGGGCTGTTGGTATTTAATGAAAGGTCTTCTCTTGGAGGGCACTTGTTTAAATTTAATTATTACTAGAAATTAGGGCTGCCACGGTTCAGACATTTTTCGGTTCGGTTCGGTTCAGAAAATAAATTCTCGGTTTTTGTTTTTTTCGGTTCGGTTTTCATTTTGAGAATTTAAATAAAACAACTTTATATACATCAAAGGATAATAAGGATTTAGGACATTGTAGAAAGTACTATTTTGCTGACACAAATTTCTATCCATTTTATTCAACAGAACAAGTTGTGAAATGTAACAAAAAATAACAAAGTAATAAATTTCTTGTTTAAAATAAAATAAATATAGTTATTGACTAGAGTTATCTTGTTTCAAATTGAAACATTCAAAACGTGAAGTATTCCCAAACTTGTGATTTGGTTTTCCTTCCACATGAGTATGCCATGTTTAAATGTCTTCGATGTTACCTGTATTTTTATTGGTTAAAGAACCCTTCATTGAAATAAACAACCAATCACAACGCGTGTTGCAAGCAAATTAGTATCATATAAAAGATAAAAAAAAACCGAACCGAATTCCGGAAAACCTGACTCGAACCGAACCGAATGCCATTTCGGAGCAGTTAACCGAGTTTTCGGTTAACCGTGACAGCCCTACTAGAAATCCAACTTTGATAGACAGTACATTTGTTTCTGCCCCATTTTGTAGTTCAGATTCGTTTGTTGATTTGGACCTTAGATTTATTTAAATACACAAACAATATGCATACAAGAGGGATTTTTTTTATTATAATAATGCTGATCACAATAACCTCAATGATGATTTAGCAAATATAAATTGGGATTCAGAAGTTTTTAATACTACTGATTTAGATGAAATGTACTCTAATTTTACAGAAGCAATTACCAAAGGCATAGATAAACAAATCCTTAAAAACGTAATTACAATACGACCAAAAGACAAAGTATTTATGAATAGTACAGTTAGAATACTGATGAGAAAGCAAAATTGAATCCATCGTAAAGCTGTAAAATCAAACAATCCTGTTCACAGGGAAAGTATAAATACCTTCGCAATCAGGTCATTGATGAAACTAGAAAACTGACCAGTCAGCAAGGGCCCCGCCATGGGGTAAAATCAAAAGGGTGCAGCTCACGGATTTATAAAAAATGTACGAAGAATAAGCAACAGCAACTGTATTCTTAAAATTTCAAGATAATTCCTGAATATTCAAAAACCTGAAAATTATATCCTTGTATTTACATTAGGCAGCAAAGAAAAACTTAACATTGAATGTATTAAACAATTATGAAGCTTGTGTTATATAGAATGCCAGCCTTCAATGAATGCAAATATCATGAAGGCTTGACCTTAACTTCAATAAACAGCAGTTGCAGACAAAGGGTTTCATTAATATTAAAGATAAAGAAAAGCCTTCTAAATTTTCTGCAACAGGCTAGATAATTGATCCCAAAGGATTAATTGTACCTCTCTCATCATTTTCTTCTAAATTTACAATAAGAACTTTTTCAGTATTAATGATAGAATGGGGTTTTTATAAAACTACCTTAAAAATTAATTAACGTAAAGTGAAAAAAGGAAATCAAAAAAATCTTCTTTAATCTATTTCTTGTTTTTAGAATTCAATGAAATTATAACTTTTAAACAAAAATAAATTATAAAAATTTATATCTAAATCCACATTTCACAGAGTTCATAGCATTCCAAATTGACTTAACTTCAAAACAAACTTCATTTGCAGACAGAGGTGGTAATTCATCTCAATGTGACAGATAAAGATAATGCTCTGGATTTTCTTCAGAAGGAAAGCTAATCAATCCCTATGGACTTATAGCCAGCATTCATTTTATAATGGGAACATCTTCAGCAGTTATCTCTCTTTGCCAATGCATTCTAAAGGAATCTACCCCACCACCCCAGCTCCAAACCAGGGGACATAGAGAACCAAACTTAGCATCAAAATATGTATTTCTGCCTACTGAACTACCAAACAAAATTTGTACTTGATTGGGCAACCATAAAAAAGTTACCCATTCATTCTTATGCATAGTTAAGGAATCTACCCCAACACCCCAGCTCCAAACCAGAAGACATTGAGAACCAAACTTGGCATCAAAATATGTATTTCTGCCTATTGAACTTCCAGACCAAATTCGAACTTGATCGGGCAACCATAAAAAAACCATAAGCCAACACCTTTTCTTAAGGTTGATTGTCAAACACTGCTTCATCCCATAGAAAATCCAATGCCATTAACAGATTCTTTACAGACATCTCTTGCATTAATGATGAACCTGATCTACCACCCCAGGGACCAGCCCCCCCCCCCACCTTATTACAGAAATGAAGTCTTAGAACAGTTACAATTCATCAATATAAGTAAGCCGTCAGGTCCTGATGTTGTTTCACCTCGGATTTTAAAATATACTACACGGTCAATATACAAACCAAGTACAAAATTATTTAACATATCACTTGACACTGGAACACTTCCTAATATTTGGAAAATTGTCCAGGTTACTCCTGTTTATAAAAATAAAGCAAATGCAGATAATGCCAATAAAAATAGACCAATATCACTATCAGTAACATCTGTTGTTTGCAAATTATTAGAAAAAATTTTGTCAAGTATCAACACAACTATATATCTGAAAATTTAACAATTAATATTTGTTTATTTGCTGATGATACTTCACTCTACATTATTGTTGACAATAATGTTTTCAGTTCTGCAAACTCATGATAAGACAAATGATTTAGAGAGTTGACTCAGTGTTCAAAACAATGGTAGATGATTTTAACCCAAAAAACAGTAAATGTATTTTTTTTCTCATCCAAATGTTAAATTTGGCTAAATGGCCCAATGATTGAACCAACATTTAGGACTAAATTTTCAGTGTGATGCCGACTGGAATTTGCACATACAAATTACTTATGAAAAAGCATGTAAACGTTTAAATGTTCTACGAATGTTAAAACATTCTCCTTGTGGAGATGCATTAATAACAAGAGGCCCATGGGCCTTATAGGTCACCTGAGCATTATTCAACAACTTTCCAGTGATTAAATTTGTTTTAAGCCAGATGCTATAGCATTTACAATTTGGTAATCATAACTATACACTAAGCAGTTCCTTAGTTTGGTTACTTAATACCCATAGGCAGGGTAGGGGAACAAAAAATGCAATTCAACAAATCAGTAATATTCAGCAAAAATCAGTAGTGCCGCTACCACACAGGAATCCTTGACTCTTAGGCTTTGATCCACACATTGCACAATTTTTGGAAAGGCATCCTTGCTTTTCAAAAAAATTTGATTAATACCAAGGAGCACATTTCAAACAATTCATTCATTTTCAGTATATAAGTACAGCCCCCCCCCCCTCTATGGTACAACTGACCCTGGGGCCTTGAAATTTACAATTCTTGAAGATTTAGTCCCTTGCTCATAACTATATAGGTAGTTCATTTGCTTAAAACCTAGGAACAAAGAACAAAATATTCAAAGATTTAATGTTTTTTCACTATACATGTATAATCAATAAGCCCCCCCCCCCAACACCAGAATCCCTGACCCTGGGGCCATAAAATTCACAATTTTGGTAGAGGCGCTCTTGCTTAAATCAAAACTATGTACTTAGTTAGTTTATTTAATACCCAGAAGCAGAGAAATGGATTTTCAAAGAAATAATGTATTTTCACTATATAATCAATAGAGCCCCGCCCTAACACCAGAACCCCTGACCCTGGGGCCATAAAATTCACAATTTTGGTAGAGGCACTCTTGTTCATCATAACTATGTACTTAGTTAGTTTATTTAATACCCAGAAGCAGAGAAGAAGATTTTTAAAGAAATAATGCATTTTCACTATATACTTATTTAGCCCCGCCCTAGCACAAGTACCCCTGACCCCAGGGCCATGAATTTCAAAATTTTGGTAAAAGACTCAATGCTGATTACAATCATGCATAGAGTTTGACTACTTGATGTCCAGGTGTAAAGAAGAAGATTTTTAAAGATTGCATTAATTTTAGTGGTTTTGGCCCCACCCCCCAGGCCCCAGGGGGGCAGGGATCATGAAATTCACAATTTTTGTTCCCCTTCACCCATAGATGCTTTGTGCCAAATTTGGTTGAAATTGGTTCAGTGGTTGCAGAGAAGAAGCTAAAAATGTTCAAAAGTTTACGACCGATTGACGACGAACGACGAACGACGTACGACGGACGACGACGGACGAAAATAGATAGCAATAGGTCACCTGAGTGACTCAGGTGACCTAAAAACATATATGTCATTTATCAAACCAGTTGTAGAATATGGTGATGTTGTTTGGGATAATTGTAATGAAAAGGAATAATCTTTATAGGAAGAAGTTCAAATTGCTGCTGCAAGAATTAGTTTAGAAATGAGAGTGAACTCATAAAGAGCACTTTTATAAGAAAAATTTGGGTTGAATACATTGTCTGACTGAAGGAAAAGTACTTGAATTAATATTATTTTACAAAATAGTGTATGGAATAACACCCACAATACCTTCAAGATCTTTTAAGACCTTGCATTTCACCTCAAACTCAATACTCATTAAGAAACCATAATGGTCTTACTTTTCTTATTCCTCAAACTTTACAAAATAGTGTATGGAATAACACCCACAATACCTTCAAGATCTTTTAAGACCTTGCATTTCACCTCAAACTCAATACTCATTAAGAAACCATAATGGTCTTACTTTTCTTATTCCTCAAACTAGGACCACATCATATATGAATAATTTTCTTCCATCTACAATTAAACTATGTAATAATTTACCATACCATATTAGAAGTTTACCAACACTATCTTTTTTTCACTAATGCCATTAAAAAGACTCATTTTAACACCCAGTAAGCTTTTTAATCATGGAAACCGTAGTCAAAATATTATTCATTGTCAGTTAAGAAATAATGCCAGTAGTTTAGTCATTTACAGAAAGATTACATAAGTGATTGTTAAAAATGTGAAAACTGTGGTTTTCATACAGAAAATACATATCATTTTTCCTTTAAATGCCAACATTATGCTGAACAAAGAAATACTCTTTTGAATTGTATATCTAGTATAGACCTGCAACATCCTGTATCCCTAAATATTTTTTTATTTGGTGATAGTAATATTTCTTATGCAAAAAATATGAAATTGTTTGAAATTGTTTGATTGTGTTCATAAATATATATCACAAACCAAAAGTTTCATAAATAAAGTGAAACTATAAAATATTTATTCCAGTTCTTGCTTAAATCAAATATACACTTATTGTACGTTCATAAATTGATGTAATTCTAATTTTTTAATTTTTTTTCTCTCATTTCCACAAAAACCAGTATTCAATTGTTGTTTTTTTTTCACTTCACTCTTATTTATTTTTTTTAAATATTTTTTTTTCTCAAAAACTCTATTTAATTTTATGGTAGTTATATATAACTTATTGGTAATATATAAACCTGTTACTTTATGATTATTAATTAACCTTGTATATGTGGAGAGCCAGGAGAGGGCTTATATTGTCTATGCCTGCTGCCAAATCCGTTTATGTAATTGTTACATAATAAAACATGTTCAAATCAAAGGTCTTCCTATAAAGAATACATATGCAAAGAACAAATGACTTATTTTCTACTGTTCAAAAGATATGACAAAAGTAAAATTTCTGTGTAAAAATGGATCATCTGAACTCAAGATCATGGTAAAAAGGTCAAATTTAGTGGCATCCAGAGAAAGGTCTTGTCAAAGGAAAAACACATGTTAAATATGAAAATCATAGCTCCACTAAATCAAAATTTATGGGGAAGGATAAAGATGTTTATCTACCAGATGCTGGAGATGAATTGATAGTACATGTAGTTCTATAATGGGGTATATATTACCGCTATACCGCTTCAAAATTCAAAGGAAAATCAAAACATCGCCTTGTAAAATTACAAATTTCTAAAGATGGAGATACCTTATATCATTTAAGATGCAATTTAATTTAAAAATTTTCATACTTTCTGTATTCAAAATATAAAAAATATGAAAATCAATAGTTTTATTTAATATATATAGATGTATTTAAAATAATTCTCAAATGGGACGCTTCATAAAAAATAAATAATTACACAAACATTACATCTCATTTTCCCTTCATTTCGAGCATCTTGTGAAAGGGAGAAGGTTGAACAAATTAATGAAGAACATAATTGTATTTAAAGTATATCCTTTTAAAAATATATAGTAGAAATTGAATTGTTTCATTTACATTGCTATCTGTGTTTTACAGATAAGATGTTTCAGTTTTATGAGGAGGGTCCCTCTAAAACACAGTTTCTACGTCTAACTGAACGTATTCGAAAATCATTAAAAGAAAGTGATTTACCAATAATGAAACATCATTTACTATGTCTGAGTATGTATCGTTCTTAATCTCTTGAAATTTCATAAATTAAGATTGTATAAACAGAACTGGTCATGAACTCTATAAATGTTTTTATCTTTGATCTATTATTCCACAAAGTAAAATGCACTTAAACTAAAATATTTATATCTTCATTCATAGATCTTCCAGGATATGGGATAGAAGAATCAGCCAAAATTCTTAATCTGTTGGACCTCTTCAGTTTTCCTTTGTCTCATAATTATTTTAGCAGTTCCGATGTTGTAATTATGCAGCTTCTACTAAGATGTTTAGGAAGAAAGGACCTGGAAGACATGTGTATTAAATATGCCACTGAGGAGAGCAAGGCTTTGTGTTACTATGCAGAACGTAAAAAAACAGGTATATGTACTTAAATTGTGAAAGCAAAGTTATCTTAAAAAGTATATAGCTCATTGTTGCAAGTTTAAGTGCGTATTCTACTTTATAAAAAGATCGCGGTTCTCTCGATCTTATGAACGAATTACTAATCGTTTATAAAAGGCGCCGCCCGAATTATTTTAGCCGATAACATGTCACTGTACCATATTTCGGTTCGTTTACAAAATGGCGCTCAAAATACTGTAATCAGTTTTTCCTGGCGCCACGCGCAATAAAATGCAGTTATTTATGATATTTTTCATAATAATAATTCAAATTCAACAATTCAATATCAAGTTAAACAAATAAATCAATATTTCTTGTATTCTTGACTGCAAAACATATAGTTTACACAGAAAATGCATTCAAACACCAAACACAAAACATTGATCTTACCAGATAAGATATGTTCTATGTACATTACAGTTATGATAAGGAAAACCATAAAATTCAATTGTTATATTTAATGTAGGACAAAACACCCTTGGATTCTATTTTAACCAATATCTTAAAAGTACCGGAGAAAAAAAAGAATTATATTACTATTTTGACAACAATGAATGATCCTTGTAAGAAAAATAATAAGCTTTGGCATGTTTGTGTCATATATTGTGGAAAAAATTGGAGAATCCTATATATTGGTCACTTGGGGGCTTACATTTTGGTCTGTGTTTATGTTATTTAAGTGCAATAAACAAGCATGTAACAGTCTATAACAAAATGCAGTATAACTTTTGTTCCATAAATAATAGAGGACTGATATTTGGACACCTATATACGGAGTATCCATTCTTTATGTACTACAAAGGTCAAGGTCATATCAAGAGGTCAAAGTCAAATATTGTGACGTCATCTTCTGAATTTTTTAGTTTTTTTTTTGCCATTAAATTTTTTTTTAATCGCCAAACTATCTTAAACCACCGGCTCAATTTTCTTCAGTTTTACACATTTTATTTTAGGGCCAATTTGAATTATTCTGCTGATTTTTTGTAAAAATTGAATCATACATTTTATCTTAAGAACACTAAAATTGTCGGATATTTACATGTGAATTTTCAATTCCGATGCTATGTATGTTATATTTTTACTTAATATCTTTCTCCAATTTTCCAGTATCAATTTGACTTACTGATTTAAAGTAACAAAAATGTTATTTTTTTTAAAAGTATTACACAAATTTGAAATAGATCAATTAATAATTCTAAAATAAGGCTCATTCTCAAGTCGAATGTCTGATTTCACAGTCTTCTTACAGGGGTCTAATAGGCCATATATCAGACTATTTGGGCAAAAAATGTGTGGTTGAATTTCTTTCATATCATGCATAAAAAGAGATTTTGTATCTTAGAACAAAATAGCAAAGTTTCAGAATAATTGAATTTAAGGAAAATTTTTGCCTACCTATTTGTGTCCTACCTTAATGCTTATTTAATAATAATGTAAAATACTCAATAAATACTTATTTTATATTTATTTCTCAATCTTCTATCAACCAACATTCTCACAAGCTAATAAAAATTAACAAATTATGTCTACTTTTCTATCAATGTTGATAAAGTCAAATAACGTTTGATATTAAAACATACAAAAAAAAGGAATGAAATTCAAAACTTCAATATTACTACACTCTCCAAAACTTTCATCTTTGACTTTCAAATCAACCAACCAGGAATAAAAACCAACAATCCCTAAATATTATATACCACATTACTAACGGAAGTTCATCAAAGACTTTAATTAATAAAATGTATGTTTATAAATAAGAGAATTAAAGTCTTCTCTGGGTTATAATTTAAAATTAAGTTTTCAATAATTTATTTTATTCAAACCAATACAAAAAAAAAAACATAATAATCTTTACTATCACAAGAGAAATGAAGTGTTTACTTCCTTCACTTTTTATTTCTTTGTGAGGCTTTATACGATCATATCCGTGTTACATTTTCACTTCGTTTCTTATAGCTACAGGATCGGTTAATTTGTAACCTACAAAAAGGATACCACAAAAATACCGCGCCAAATGCCACATGCATATTATCTTCGACTCTTTTCCTCGGATTGTTCTATTAAATGAGTGCAAAAACTAAGAATTTGGAAATAAAGTTTTCTCTTGACGTTTGATTTTTAAGCTAAAGAGTTTTTAATTGCATTTTTTAAAATCATTTTTAAATAACACATTGTATGTGGACAGCCAACACTTATACAATCAATTTGATAATTTTCCTTGCTATTCTCTTTCACGGATATACCAAAAGTGGTCTAGTACAATCATTAACAAACTCCCTCCAACTGGTTAATGGGACATCCCTTTTTGATTCAGTCTGTTCTCCCGCTTTTCTTTAAATATTACAAAATAATGTACTTACAAAGTAAGCTTATTCAAAACAAAACTTAGATTAAAATTTTGAACCGTCTCTGTGTATTTAAGTTCCCTCATAGTATTATCAGATTGTTTTCACTTACAGAAAATTTCATTTAAAAGACAGATTGTTCCTTAATTGCTTTAAAGTGTGATTATATGAAGAAGTGCAAATTTTGCTACAGACAACCACAGATTTGATAAAATTTAATAGAGACACGAAAAAAGTTACTTGCAACGAATTATATGATCTTACCATTGTCTTATTATTACGCTTTTTTTTTTTAAATTTTTTTTTGTAGAAAATGGATGCACACATGTGCAATTTCACATTTCTACAAATATTGATAGCTATCCCAGGGAATATGCAGAGGGATTAAGGGAGACTGTTGCTGAACTAGTTGCGTGTCCTAAAGACAGTATTATATTGGACGGAATTCGCCGTTCAAGTAGCTTCAACTTAGTGTTTCAAATGAAAAGGGAACACGCGTCAAAACTGATACATATGCAGCCGCAAAAGTTAGCTGTACTTGGTAGATACGCTGTGGACAAAATAATTGATGGTCAGCAGACGATTCCTATAGACTCAAATGAAACATGTACATGTAAGTATAATTTAGTAATTGATACAAATACAGACACCTACTATCATTCAACTTAAACACACATCTAGTCTTCAACTGATCGATTTTTTTTTTCATTTTAAAATGACGGTTTAGAAAAAACGTTTTATTTCCACTATGGACAATTAATAATTTTAAGTGCGCTATTTAATGAAAAGGTAAGAATGAGTTCAAATCTCGCGGAATTTCTTGTTCAGAAAAAAACTAAACATCCTTACGCAGCTATGATAAGGCTGTCCAAAGGCTTAAAATGCATGAAAAACAATACATTTTATTTTGAGCTAGATTTTAACTTTAATATGCAATCCCAGTCAACTAGTGATAAGAGTTTAATCAAGTATATTATAATAAAGCATTTCGTTGATGTCACATGACTTTGTTGATCACGCGACGGACATTTATGATATTCTTAAATTCTGCACCAAAATCGCATCGGCATAAAGGCAAACACATAATTATTGAGAAAAGGTTATTACATCGATCAATTCCTCGTGATCTCAGGTACATATAAAATGCTGGGGGCAAGTCTGATATTTTCCTTTATAAATTATTTTACGAGAAATTCAACTTACCAACATAAGAAGGGGTATTTTCCATTCTTTATTGCGTTTTATACGAAAATGGATAAACTAAATACAGTCACCTAGCAAATTCAGTTAGTTGACACATTTCTCATTTAGATTCACACAGAATATCCTTAATTTATCCTTTTTACTCACTTGTGCCAGTCGAATGTAAACATGATTCTTAAATTCTATATCTGTCTTCAGATGTGAAAGGGGAGCGGTTCACAATTACTATTTGCTACTGTGTGAATATAAGTATGTTAGACAAGTAAAATGAATAGGGACAAGTAAATTTCAAATGTACAACATTATACAGTACACTGGAGCTAAAAAAATAATCACGACGCTTGAATTAAGGTAGGATTCTTCTTATATTTCTTACATTTAAAAATTAATGAAATTTTCACAGGATAGAGAAGACAGTATCAGTAAGTGATAGTATCACTGAAATTAAATTTGGCCGTTTTGTATTAGAGGCAAGGTCAGGTCAAGGTCATTATCTTTTTTCTTGACATAAAGAATAAAAATTACTGTTGCCAATCATGTGATATCTACTTCTATTTCAAAAGTTTAAAGATTGATCTTTTTGCATAAAAACATATTACTATATCGGGTCTATAGCATGATATTATCAAATTTACATAAATAATTTAACTTAACTGGATATTGGCTTATTTGAATTTTTCTCTGTTTTTCTTAATTTTTTAGGATATATTAGTTATTTTCTTATTCTTCCTATATTTAACTTTTTCTTATTTTAAACCTATAATAAAGTAGTCTTACAAATGTACAAAATGATACAAAAACAAAAAGTTTTGATCGTTTACAAAGAGAGAAAAATACTTTTTATGGATTTTTGGCTCAATTCTGCACTTTGATAGGAAGCGTTTAAAAGCTAACAAAGTTCTAGTTTGTTTGAAAAATCAAATAAATTTGATATATATTGAAAGTTTAGTCCCCCTTTTTTAGTTTAACTTACATTTGAAAATTTTTCCAAGTCTTCGATTGTGTAAAAATTATAATTAAATTCATTGTTCTATTATAATTTTGAGAGGCAGAAAAGAAGATATTTTCATACGCCAAATTTCCGACAAAAATATGGTCCCTGCTAGTTTTCAAACGCAGTTTACCATTTCTATTTAAAGATATACAATTGTGGTGAGGAAAGAAAAATATGTCTGTTTTTAATTCCTTACACCTCAATATATAAGACATATAAGCAAAGATACTTTGAATGTTTCATCTAGTCAGAAACCAGAGAAGAATCCTACAACGTTAAAAAAATCAACATGCTATTTGAAAGAAATCAAAAATAATATGACACTTTCCCCGTCATCTAAGCTCAAGTATGCAGTGACTTTACGTCATATTCTATTATGACGTCATATCTAGGTAGTTCAGAGAAGTTACTACAGTTTGAATAGTTAGATTATTTACCGACAGCCTTACCCTAGCCGCGTAAATCCAGACATGTCTTAGACCCGACACTCTTAATGAAGAATTTAGTCGATTGCTTACTTATATTTCTTGATTCCAAAAGAAGGTCATTAAGACCAACAAATTATTTTATAAACACCGAGAATTAATTTACAAAGTTTCATTTGAAGGCCCTTACAATTTTAATTATTGAGATACAGCCATGAATTTTCCCGGTAACCTACTTTTTGGTAAATGTGCTCCGATACGAAAATGCCTCAATTAACAATTTGATGATTATAATCCAAATAGTGTCTTAAATATTTAAATATACACGTAGCCGTAAAATTTCAAAAGGTGACCTACTTTCTGTTTGCCTATATCAAGTAACAAAGATACATCAGATGAGAGGCTTTGATGATTCTGAACCAATACGCAGAGGTTATAAGGAACCATTCAAAATATTTTACCTTGACTTAAGGTAGTGTTCTTCTCATATTTCTAATATTTAAAAATAATGAAATTCTCACAGAATCAAGAAGACAATATGGGTAAGTGATAGTATCAGTGATATTTAATTTGACCGTTTTATATTAAAGGCAGGGTCAGGTCAAGGTCATTATCTTTTTCCTTGACATTAAGAATATAAAAATACTGTTGCCAATCATGTAATACCTACTTCTATTTCGAAAGTTTAAAGATTGATCTTTTTGCATAATAACATATTACTATATCTGGTCTATAGCATGATATTACCAAATTTACATAGATAATTTAACTATACTGGATAATTGTTAATCCGAATTTTCTCTGTTTTTCTTAATTTTTTAGGATATATTAGTTATTTACAGATGCTTCCTATATTTAACTTTTTCTTATTTTCACATATACTAAAGTAGTCTTAAAGATGTACAAAATGATACAAAAACAAAAAGTTTTGATCGTTTACTAAGAAAAAAAAAACAAACTTTTTATGGATTTTTGGCTCAAATCTGCACTTTGATATGAAGCGTTTAAAAGCTAACAAAGTTCCAGTTTGTTTGCAAAATCATATAAATTTGATATATATTGGAAGTTTAGTCCCTCTTTTTTAGTTTAACTTACATTTGAAAATTTCTCTAAGTCTTTGATTGTGTAAAAATTATAACTTAATTCATTGCTCTATTATAATTTTAGAGGCAGAAAAGAAGATATTTTCATACACCACCATTCCGCCAAAAATATAGTCCCTGCTACTTTTCAAACGCAGTTTACCATTTCTATTTAAAATTGTACATTTGTAACGAGGAAAGAAAAATATGGTCTTTTAAATCCTTTACACTTAATATATAAGTCATATAAGCAAATATACTTTGAATGTTTCATCTAGTCAGATACCAGACAAGAATCTTACCTTAATCAGTGCTACATTATTACGTCATAGTAGGCGAGATGACGTCAATTGTAGAACACAAGTTTTCGTAATATAGATATTTAGAGATGTTATTAAGAGCATGTCTACGAGAAAACCATGCAAGAGGTTATGGGAGCAAGGTTTTCGGATCAACCTCATATTTTGTGTGTAAATTTCTTCTATAGTATGAAATATTTTGCCACAAATTTTTTTTCAGTGTGGTCTCACTTAAGGGGTTAAATCGACACTGTTACTAAAAATAGAATTTTTGGTCCTTACGCAGGGTGAAAACAGGAATTTTACAGGATTTTATATTTAAAAAATCAGCATTTTGCTTGGTAATGATAAAAAATATCCATATATGGTTGAAAGTAACAAGATACACTTGTTTCAGAAAATTTTTCATAATCACAAACTGTGCTCCCGTTTAAGTGCAAACAGGTCACAAATCTGGCATATTTCCAGATTTTTGAAAACTGGTGAAAATATTCACTTTTCAAAAACCTGTAACTCAGAAAGTGACGCTTAGAACCAACTCAATCTCATACCAATTATTAGACAACATGTCTGTCTACATTATATAAAAAAATCTGTCTTTGGATTCTCAAATGTTTTGCTGTACTTTTTACTTAAAGTTGGACATTTTTTGTGAATTTTCAAATTTTCTCATCCCTGAACTTCAGCAAGGAGTTATTTTGCTGATTTAAATATTTTCAAAAAATTAAATTTTGCCGTTGAAAAATACCAGTATATTGTACATTTTTGTTTTCAATCAATAATTATTTCTTAGGGGGTTAAATGGGGTAAATTGGGGGGGGGGTTACCAGAATTGTATTATCTTACATTTCCTTTAAGCAGGGCGATATTCACATACTGCTTAGTACCTGTTTGTCAATCAGTAGACCAAGTGTGTTCTCTCTTATCTTAAAAAAAACATTTGCTTAATAGATAAATAAACATAGTACACTGGTACCCACTAATAAGTAGATGGTCCCTTTTAATTTGGAGTTCACAAGGTCAAAGGTCAAGAGTTATAATTCTCGATATACCAGTATATAGATTTTAATCATTCAAAATCTTGCGGACCCATTACTTGACAGACATCAAATTTAGTACACTGGTTTCTTGAAAAGTAGAGGACCCCTTTAGATTTTGAGGTCACAATATCAAAGGTCAAGGGTCAAACTGAACAAAAAGGAATATCAGAGCCATTTTCTTGACAGACATATTGTCCTGGCAACAAACTCAAAATGAATGAACACGATGTTTTAAAAATCAACAAATTAAAACATTTATAATTTTTAATTTCATTGCAGATTAAAATTTGAATATTACTCAATAACTAAGTACATTCAACAACAAAAAAATTACAATGCTTGACTGCTTCCTGATATTTTATATTCACTTCCAAAATTATAATGACCTTGAAATTTTGTATGCTTGAAAAAAAAATCTACTTGCACAAGTATACATCATGGTTCTAAATTAAGGTAAGATTTAAAAGAAAAAAATCACAGTTTCCCCAAATCATATTCTGAATTATTTGCTATTAAACCTGTATACAGGAAATTAGTCTTTATAATAGTGTTATATTTGGTAAAACAAAGCACTGTTGACCTTGAACTTTGATCTTTTCTAACATAATAAACACTTAAAATTTACTCTGAATTTTTGTGTATTCCTGCAAGTGAAACCTGATACATATTTAAAATCAAGATATTAACAATCTTTAAGTACATGTACCAATAAAATCGTATAAGTTAACATATATGAAAAACCCTGAAATTTTGGCTACTATACAAGCTTCTTCAATCATAAATTGTCTTTTTTTCTTCATGTTTGGTACACCATTTGGGTTGATCTTGAGGTCTCAAGCTTTCAAAATCTATAAGGTGTATCCAAACTATTCTGTTCAGTATGACCCCATTTTCTTCCTATGTAGCATCCAATAACTTGTGGAGAAAATTTAACAAGCACTGAAATTTCCACTTCTGGTTTAAAGAACAAGTGGACTGTCTCCAAATACACAAAAGTAGTACTCAAGGCATGTACCTGTGAAAAAGGACAGTTTTCAAATTAAATTGAAATAAACCATACTAGACATATTCTAAGATTTTTAAAATAAATGTCATGTTTATGATAATGCTATATTTATATTTGTCAATTGAAGAAAATGTCATCAAATGACTTGGGTAAGATTCTTCACAAATTCTTCTGGCTATCTTTGAAGAAAACAAGAGCTTCATATATCCTTGAAGTAAAGTAACAGAGTAGGGAAAAATGCAAATCAACAGACAGACAAGGCAATTCCTATCCATGTACAATAGTATACAGTTATGAAATGGGTATGAGGGAAATAGCAAATTTATGATTCCCCAGGAGAGGAAACTATTTCCCGGAGGAAATAGTTCTCTGCCAAGGGGAACTTTAAATTTGCTATTTCCCAAGTTCCCATTCCATAAC